GGGAAAGCCATGTTACAGCTTCTTCCCTCTGGCAGAAGATATCGCTCTCTGAGATGCAGGACATCTCGTTACGCTAACAGTTTTTATCCACAAGCTGTTATCAGTGTGAACAGAGCACTTTAATGATTTGCACTTGTTTTGAAACTGTTTTAGTCAATCGATTTCACAGTGACATTTGTTTACTGTTTTATTTGTTTTATTTTTGTCTTTTAATGTTGTTTTATGTCTGTATTTGTCTGTGCACACTGGTGACTATGTGGTGTTTTTATTGCAAATGGCAAATAAACTGAATCTGAATCTTATTTTAAATCAGGTTAGCATAGCCACTGGCACATGTCCATACACTTGAACAATTCACTGGTACCAACTTTAATGAATAATCCCTGGCTATAGTCACGTTTATTTAAGTTCTACATCTGAAAATGTTAAAGAATCTATAATAACATAAAAATACATTGAGTAAAGAACAAGATAAGAGTTAAAAGTCGCCAAAAATAGCCTCTGCTGTATTGATGTGCAGCTGGTCAGAAGTCATTTCGGAGACATTTTGGGAGCTGCGTTTGTTTCATTCTGTTTTGTTTGCTTTTTGGAGCAGACATAAATTACCCTGCATGGCTGGTTGTGTGTGCACGGATGAGTGTGTGTCTGTGTCTGTGTGTGTGTGTGTGTGTGCGCAGCTTGTGTGTTTGTGATGTGCACTGGGCTTGAACTTTGTGGACGGCACGAAAGCAGCCTGCAATGCTACTGCTGTTGTTACTGCTGCTGCTGCTGTTACTGCTGCTGTAACTAGTGCTATACTGCTGCTGCTGCTGCTGCTGCTGAGGGGAGGTCCATGTGGCGGTGTGTCTGCCTGGCCTCTTACACGTTGCTTGTCCACATGCATCAGACTCTTCCTCTCTCCCCATTTCTCTCATTGCATCCCTCTATTTCACTTCCACCAGAACTCTTCAAAGAATTATACCTTTATAATTGCAGGTTCAATTGCTCTTTGGGATACATATTCAAATCTGTAATTGCTTTTTTTCCAGGCTCTTCATTGCAAACCCTGGAGTAATTGGCCTATTCTTATCCACGGTACCAAATGACCATAACAAAAAAAAATATATAATACATAAGTGGAATAGAACTATCTCAAATTGCAAATGAAAAATATCCCATGGTCCAATTTGAGCTTGGGAAATTGTGTTTCTAGATTTGTTTTGACCTTTTTGTTTGAGTCATTTTTAACAACGACGATGAAGACAAAGTTGACAAAGCACTAATTGTTTTTTTCAAATTGTGTTCATGAATATATAACGGAGGAGAAATGGACAGACGGATGGGAGCTGAAAACATAACATGATACTAACTTTTGTCTTGAAGTTATACCAATCCTTCTATGTTTATCTGACCTGCCTTTCATCAAGCTCTGCTCCTACCACTTTAACCCTTTTTACTCCCTCTCTCTGGTTCATTCCACGACTGCCTTTCATTCCTTCAATGACTCCCTCTTTCCTCCGCACATTTAAACATGCTTCATCACCACTGCTCTGTCACGCAGCAGCCAGTCATGCTCACTGAGGCACTAGGGAATCGTGCTTGGCTTTTTATAGTAAACCAGTGCCCACAACTTCCCTTTTGTTAATTGTAAAATACTATCTACTTAAAAGCTATGTATGTATGTATTTTTTTGTTTTCATTCTATATTGTTTGTTATACAGTTATATTTTGTAGAACACACTGTTATGTTATGTGTGGCAGTGATTTATGTCAACACCCACACTCCCAAGTGAATTCTCCACATATCGCAAATCTTTATGTAATAAATGTAGACCAATAAAGTGTTGAGTTCAATGAATCATGGATGAAAGCAGCAGGGACCAGCTCAACACAAAATGTTAGTTCTTTCTCAAATAAAAAAATGTCTGTGGCGAAACCATATTCTGATATTCTGTAATTTGGTGTCCAAGCAGACACTCCCTCATTTTCCTATCCTCAAACTCTTCCTCCAGCTCATCCCAGGCCATCTGAGAGACACAGTCCCACCAGTGTGTCCTGGGTCTCCTCCTGGTGGGACATGCCCAGAGCACCTCCCCAGAGAGGCGTCTGAAACAGATGTGTTTCTCAACATGGAGAAGCAGTGGCTCTACTCTAAGCTCCTCACCCTATCCACTCTGTGGAGGAAACTAATTTTGACCTTATGTATCTGTAATCTTGTCCTTTCAGTCACTAACATATGCATTAATGTACTGTGAATATGTATGATTTAAATGCCTTGTCTGATTGCATCTTGTTTTGTTAAGCACTTTGAGTTGCTTTGCCTTTTCATTATCCAGGGCTTATGACCATATGTGAGGGTTGGAATTGGATTGTCTGGTCAACCAAGAGCTTTTTCCCTTTGAACAGCTCAATACAACGGCAAGTAATTCCCTATGCTTCTTTCTTTCTTCTAATTGTCTTCTTTATTTGTTTCTCTATTGTCATTCCTCATAAAGAGCCCCAATACAGCATGTGGAATTGAAATAATCCTGGCAGCATTGTCAAAATACAATGAAAGGTTATAAATAATGCATTCTGAGAAATAACAATGGGTCATAATAAAAAAGCTGGAAGCTTCTGCAGTCATGGCATCATGTCAAATGAGCACATGTATAAAATTGTGTCTAGTGTCTCATGGCGGCCACACTCCATGTGTCATGTCCTCATTGTCCGTCTCAATCCGCCACTGCGTTTAATCCTCTTGGGAACTCCAATCTAATTCCGAGTTGTTCATTCGTGTATATTGATGTGACGTACTGCATGTATTTAGAGTGTGTATGTACTACAGTCTATAGTGTGTATGCACGCTCTTCACATGACTCTCTCCAGTAGATGGCGACCTTGTGCCTCTCTGCGCTCTGCCCGTTGGCGTCCAGTTTATCTTGGTTCAGCAGTGGGCTTTTAATTTGACTTCACATGGGTTCTGGTGTGCAGGAGCAGAATTATGCTTATACTATAATACTAACAAAATAGGTGTTAAGTACTATTTTTCTTACTATATTTAAACGTGCCTCATGTCTTTGTTTTCATATTGTACGGGAATAGAACAATACCGTTTTTTTGTCTTAGAACTTGGGCTTGTATGTGTTTGCCTCAATTCCTACATAACAAGCAACATATATGACATTTGCAGTCTCAGCTTGGGATCGCATACATTTTGTTCCCTCTTTTTTCTTCTTCTCCAAACAAAGAAAGCAAGGCAAAACAGAACAGAGCGCGTCATGGCACTTTTACGCACGCTGCTGTACGGGCTCCTCTCCGTCACTGGGCTTAACTACTACTACTTTAAAGCCCTTGTTCTTGCAGAGCAGTAGTTGGCACTGGGTCCATGGCGCGCAGCAGCAGGCAGCAGCAGTGTACAGGCAACTGAGCGGAGAGACAGGACTGGAGCCAGTGCGCATGAGGGAAGGACTCGCGGAGGGGACGGCACGCACATTCACAGGGCTCATTGGCATCGGTGACTGCGCGCAAGAGAGGCAGCCCACACAGACGCGCTGTGAGGGATAACTGAATGTTACGAACGGAAAGCACCATGGACTTGATACAAGATGTGAAACAGGGAAAGTGACAGAGGATTCCCAAAGGAGGAGGAGTGAGTGTGCGTCGGGTGAGATCCGCAAGTTGTAGATTCAACAAGAGAAGTGCCGTTTATGACAAGATTGAGAGCTGATGTGTTCTTGAAGATATTTTTGTTTCGTTTTGTTTCAACGCTGAACAAGTCCGTGGCAGTTTTTGTTGATGTTTTTTTTTTTTTTTGAGAAGAGACAACCCAAGTCATATTTTGTTTTGCCTTGGGATTTTACTGGGAGCTCGGTTTTGTGCCAATGTCGTGACCCTTGAATGTTTTTATGGAAAGCTGAAGTGAAATGCAGTAGAGAATATGACCCCGCATGTGGATTATAGTGACATGTCAGCGTTTCTGGGGCTGCTGCTGGTTCACATGCTCTCTCTGTGAATTTGAAGTGACTTTTAAATTCGATTATCTTTGGCTGATCGGATTGCACCGGGGGAATCTCATTCAAACACACACAAAAAAAAAAACACTGCAAGGGGCAATCGGCGTATAGGGGCAAAGTATAATCACACGGACACGCCTGGAAGATCATTAAAAAAATCAGATAAACGCACAACCAAAACCATCAATAGAGGTATTGATGAGGTGCTATATAAAGCTACTGATTGGTCAAACCTCTGTTAACAGCTCAGCAACGGCAGCCTATAAGTTTGTCAGAGGGGGAAACAGATGAGACAAAGTAACTCTGACAAGAGGAAGCACTTCCAACTGAAAATATCTCTTTTCCACTGATTCCCTGCTTTTAGGGCAACTGTATTGATTGGAGCTAATCCACTACAGCAGGACTACTATTGCACCTAGAATGTTCACTACTGGCACCACTTCTACAGGAACTAATGAAGCAGGTATACTTTTTTGGAACACTTCTGTGACATATTTATAGCCACTCTCGTGCAAAAATGGTGGCTTTGACTAGGAGCTCGTGGATCAGGCAGCCTGTGGGGGAGCAGGTGCCCAGACAGCAGTGCACGCTTTCAGCTTTGACAACACAGTGCTCAGGTCTCAGTCCTCTGTAGGCTGGGGATATGATGGGGTGACTTTAGACCCCCCCCTTCATGCCCAACCCCTTCTCTAAGTTTTCAACCATCATACAAACATGGAGCACAATATCTCCACAGTCCAAGATGGGAGACCAATGCTACCAGAGAGGGACTCCTCCAAACGTGTTTTAACGGGATGTTTCCTCTTCCTCCTTATATTCACCACGTTGCTAGGCAACACATTGGTGTGTGTTGCAGTCACTAAGTTTCGTCACTTGAGGTCAAAGGTCACAAACTTTTTTGTTATCTCTTTGGCTATTTCTGACCTTCTGGTGGCTATCTTGGTTATGCCGTGGAAGGCAGCGACAGAGATTGTAGGGTTTTGGCCGTTCGGAGCTTTTTGTAATGTGTGGGTGGCGTTTGACATCATGTGTTCAACAGCCTCCATCCTCAATCTGTGTGTGATCAGTGTGGACAGGTACTGGGCCATTTCCAGCCCATTCCGTTACGAACGTAAGATGACTCCCAGGGTAGCCTGTCTTATGATCAGTGTAGCATGGACTTTGTCCGTCCTCATTTCCTTCATCCCAGTCCAGTTGAACTGGCACAAAGATCAAGCCACTAGCTACCTGAATCTGAACGGATCCTACCCCAGTGAACTGCCCCCAGACAATTGCGACTCCAGCCTTAACAGGACATATGCCATTTCCTCTTCGCTAATAAGCTTCTATATCCCAGTGGCCATCATGATCGTAACTTACACTCGGATCTATCGGATTGCTCAAAAACAGATCCGCAGAATATCTGCTCTGGAACGCGCTGCAGAGAGTGCCAAAAACCGCCACAGCAGTATGGGCAACAGCTCAAGCATAGAAACAGAGAGCTCCTTTAAAATGTCCTTCAAGCGAGAAACCAAAGTCCTGAAGACACTCTCTGTGATCATGGGGGTGTTTGTGTGCTGTTGGCTGCCCTTCTTCATCCTGAACTGCATGGTACCATTCTGCGAAGTCAACCTCCCAGATGGATCCACTGAGTTCCCCTGCGTCAGCTCCACCACCTTCGATGTGTTTGTGTGGTTTGGCTGGGCCAACTCTTCCCTCAACCCCATCATTTATGCCTTCAACGCTGACTTCCGAAAGGCCTTCTCCATTCTCCTGGGCTGCCACCGCCTGTGTCCCGGGAGCAACGCCATCGAGATTGTCAGCATCAACAACAACATGGGAGCCACTCCCTCTAACCCAAACTGCCAGTACCAGCCCAAGAGCCACATTCCCAAAGAGGGAACCAACTCGGCCAACTACGTCATCCCACACAGCATCTTGTGTCAGGACGAGGAGCAGCAGAAGAAGGACGGCAGCCCTGATGAGCTGGAGGTGATGGGGAACAATGCCCCAGAGAAACTTTCACCAGCTCTTTCTGCCACTTTGGACAGCGACACAGATGTCACACTGGAAAAGATCAACCCAATCACTCAAAATGGACAGCACAAAACGTGTGGAGATTAAATAATCTGTTTGCTAAAGGTATGTACTCAGTAGAGGAGCGCTTACACAGTGGAGCATGCAGAGACATATTCAGACATTTGAAAGGAGCATGGCCGATCGCAAACCAATGGGATTTACTCATTAAAAACCTTAAGAACTTAAAAATACTCCTCAAGGAGAAAACCATTCTTGTGAATGTCTCAAAAGTATTGGCACTTTACTGAAGTAAACTATCTGCAAAATGCCTTCAGCATTTATTGAGGAAATTTCCACATTTGATGATAAATGCTGATAGGAATAATGTGAATACCATTGCAGAACCCTGGAGCTAATGTCTACATGCCATGGTGTACATGCATGTAGGCATTAGGATACTGTACAATAACAAAGACACTGTTCCCTTGAAGGACTTCAACAACGTATAATTTGAGAGGAAGCTGTAGAAACTTTTAGCAAAATGTCTTGTAGGTACAGTAGGTGCTTTGTACATGTTTCATTCTCATGGAAGAGAGAACAAAGTTGGTACTGAATTTTGTTTACTGAAATTAACTCTTGAATAAGGTCGATATTTATTTGGAGAAGCCAAAGGAACTTTTCTTAACAAAATGGCAAATAGTGAGTACACTTCAGGAAAATATATGAAGATAACAGCTTAGTTCTCTTGTAGTACTGCCTCCTGTAAGGCAGTGGTTCTCATATGTGTCTCACATTAAGAAGTGATTTCATATGTTTGATATGCCTGGGTTTAACTGTGCCTCTACCAAACCAAACTAAGACAAAATCCCAAGGCCTGTTGGAAAAAACTAAGACTGAACTAGGACTAAACAAAATATCTTCTTGCACAAAATTATAATACCGGCATTTGTTCCTCAACAGGCTCTAAACTTTGCCTTTAGTAAGACTAACCAAATGTTATCACAGTTTTAAGACCAATGTACACATTATGGACAATGAGTTGCTGGTTCTAGTCCCATTAAATCTTCACATCTGTCCAACCACATACATCGGCATTCCTCCGTGTGTGACCAAAAGCCACATGGCAAACAGGCAGTTTCTGATGAAATTCTCAACCATGTTATAACATGTTGCTTCATCCTGTCAATTACTGCACCTTCAGCCTGGTTTCATGTGACTCTTGGTCCGAATTTTTCTTCATTCTTCCTTTTCTTTCCCCTCACTTTTACCCTAACCTTGCTCTGTACCTGCAAAATACCTCCCACAACCATTATTTTCTGCCGCATTTTGGTTGGCAGCTTTCCATTCTGTGCTGCCGTCTTGAAGTAGCGCTAATAAGCCTGTATTTTGGCTATGAATCAAACCCCTGACAGTATAAAGTTAATATTCAGGGATGAGGTGAATCAAGTGACAGAGAAGCAGGTGTAATAGGATTGAGAGGTCAGATAGCGTCTTGCAGTAGTTACTTCCTTGACCTTTTGGAACCTTGTAGATGTCAAATTCTCTTAACTGGTCATGCTGGGGGTTCTGTGGTGTGGCAGTGGTCATGGGGAGAGTCACGCAGGGACGTGGTCGCTCGAATATGAACTGAGTCGCAGCATTGACAGGAGCAGGTTCGAACCAAGAAAAACACTTTTAACCGTCACTGCAGAGTAAAGGGAAGTAAGTGAAATGTATTTATAGAGCAGCTTTCACAGATAAAAACTAATTTCTTCACAAAACAGTTTATATACAAAAGGAAAAAAAATTGGCAGACAAATATAATTGGCCAAGACAACAATATGATAATCATAGCAGCCGCAAAATGACGAATCAAAAGTTAATTTATTGCCATTTGCAGAATACAGTACATTGGAAAACAATCAGGATACATATTAAATAATTAAAACTAAGGAGCTACAAAAGTGAAGCAGATATCAGGATATCAGATATCAGTTTTTGTGTTTCTTTCTAATCATTTGATTCTCTAATCTGTTGTTGGCAAATCTACAATTGTGTAAAGTCCCCCGAAACAACTGCTGAAGTGAATTAGAACTTTACAAAATGTATTGAAATGTGTTTTTTACAATTTTCCAAAAAAGACAGAGAAAGACGACCAAACCATGAGAACAAAATGGACTATACTGTAGTATTAAGAAGCCTATTTTTTAAAGCTGGGGAACCTTACTTTAAAACCACACAAAAAACTGTCACCGCTCTTTCAGGCAGAGAACTAAGAAAGAGAGGACCACCCTCGCTCGGCCAATGAGAGTTCAGCCTGAATTTTCAACTTTATGATAACAGGGCTCTTTCTTTGAAGCAGGCAAAAATATAAAATGCTGTCTGATATGGTGCAGATATGTTGTGGTCAAACTGGTTCACAAAATGCTACTTTTTAGTCGACTCTTTCTGTTGGGACAAACAACATGTATTATTTATAGGAAAAAAGGTATCTGAGCTTTAACATTGTAGGGTGAAATCACAGAAAAGTGGAACCCAGCCCATTCTTGATCAAAAGTGAGAATTTAATATTGCATATAACTAAAATACATTGACAGCAAACTATTGTTATCTCAATGTGAATGTTAAGTTCAGCTAATCAAATGAAATTCATAAATTGAGGTTTTACCACAGCTACACGACTCATGTACCTCTTATTGTAAGTGACTAATTAGGTAAAATGCACTACAAAGCACAAGCTGTTACAGTGTTCTTGTTCCATTAAACAGAGCTGGCGACATTTTCCGAAGCGGGAATCCAATACTGCTCCAGTGTAGTCTTTGGTGCAGGGAGGTGTGACACAAGAGGCAATGAAATAATAAAGTTTAGCCAATTAGCAGGACCGTGGCTAATTATAGACTCATAATGCGATAGTCATTCATAATTAGCAAGCATTGACTTTTAAGATAGTGTTAGCAAAGCAGGTGGAGATGAATTATGTCATAAATAATGACACTGGTATTGGTTGTTGAAGGGAATGTCAGAAATGCATGTAGTGACAATAACAACAGACATTTTTACAGAAAGCCCTCTTGCTCCCAGCACGTAGACGTGAGTGGATGGGACATGGGCATTTGACATTTCCAATTAGATGTTTCCTGAATGAAATACACTCTCACACATGTACACACAGTATGAGAGCTGCATATCTCAACAATTACACTGCAACACCCACTGCTGCTTGTCTTTTGCGTTTTGTCTATGGATGGGATGCTGTTAGATGCTGCGTGCGATGAATGTTGGCCATGGAAGCCCAAAGAAACTGTTGCTCTTTAGAAAAAAAGCAAGAGTTCATCCAATAAAAAGCAATTTGTCTTGAGCGAAGCGTTTGATTTTCCCGTTCTGGAAAATCCAATGCTATCTGGGTGGATGTGTGTGAGAGGGAACCGGCTTTTAGCTCGATACATGGCACAAAAAAGTGACCTATTGTCCTCTGCCTGTGCTTCCATAACAGTGCGGATGACTTTGAAGAGCCTGCTGCAAGCCGCCAATGATTTTCAGTGTTTAAAGCTATTGAATTATTCGCATTCTCAAGTGCTACATATGGGCTGGCCTCTGTCGGTGACCCCTTTTTCAACTACATTGGCTTCCTCTCCGTGCTGAACCGTGTACATGTCTCGCTTTACCTCCCACCAATGTGATTACTTCTAAACACAAGCGAGTCTGCGGAAATGCACTGTAAATATCAATCAGTTTTGTGGGTAACTTGAATTCAGAATGTACATAATTATCCGATTTAAGGAGCTTTCAACACTAGAGTCCCAGAGTTTTGGTCTTCAAAACTTTGGGATTTTCCTGTTTCTTTATGTGATTCATTGGTTTGTCATGTTTTTGAAATGATCTTGTATTGTTTAAATGTGAGTAGTTCTATTTATAACTCATTTTACACCAGAGAATATAAAGTGCGAGTTACCATAGCAACACACTGTTTACAGGCAGCAGTTAGCCTTTGTTGTTTTTGCAGTATTTCAGTTAAATGGTAAAAATACTTATAAAATACATACTTTTAATACAATCTGGTGAAAAACTATATATTTCTTTAGGGGAATTTCTCAGAATTCCATTGGTTTGAATGGGAGCAGTCAAAATGACAGCTCTGGGAGTTCTAGTTGTTTCAGAATTCTGGGAGTCCTAGTGTTAAGTAATATACATTTTAAGGCGTGTTCACAGCTAAAGGTGAACTGCGCAACCTTTTTTAACTTCATCAAAATGTTTGTTTTTCTGGAATGTTGTAAATGTATTGACCTTCATCAGATACAAGCTAGTGACATTACCATGGCAACTCACATGTCGTATAAGTGGAGACAAGATAGTACGGCTTCATTTGCATTTTTGTCTTAATAAAAAAAACCTCCTAAGTCTCAAACTTAAGATAACAATATTAACTTTTTGGCATTCAAACCAATACAATTCAGCTGTGAGCAGTGAGGAATATTTATAATACACAATATAGAGGTACAGTACAATCCAAGCAAAGGAACAGTGCACCTCTATGAAGTGTTTATCTGCTTATGCTTAAAGCTGGGGTTCCTAACTTTACTCCTCCATAAATAATTCATGTTTTCTCACTGAACAGACAGAATCTTGTAAGAGTAAAATGTTGTGGACAAATCAAACCTTAACAAATGTATTAATCTTATGAAAACACGTTATCTTGTGTATCTTTTCCACTTTTCTGTTTGAAAAAGATGATCTAGAGATGAAAATATGATGTGAAGGAGGCCCACAATACATGAAAATTATGAAAACTTGTGATAGATCCAAACTGTTTTGCGAGCGAGGAACTGCTTTGATTGATTGCCACAAATAGCTACATTAATGCTGGTTCAAAAGTTAGGTACCCCAGCTTTCCTTTGCTGTATCTATAACTGGCTTGTACATCATTTTGCCTGAAAAAAGGCTAAATATAATCAAGAACCAGTTTTGAAACAGCTCAAACTGTCAGGCTCAAACAAATGATATCACCCTATTAAAGGAGACATATTATGCAAAATGTATCTTGAATGAACCATTTCTTCCTTCGTCAACAAGAGACCTGGAGTTGATTTTTGATCCATCCACACTGTAATCCTATCTCATACCTGTAA